TCATCATCATCATCTGATTTTTTACCATTAACATTATCATCATTGTTGTTGTTGTACATTTGGATCTCCATTCCTATATCACGATTTTCTGATGATGGCGTTGAGGCTGCTTTTGCTGCTGCTGCTGCTGCTGCTGCTAATGAAGATGATGACGACGACGACAATGTTGGTGGTGATGATGATGGGCTAATCGATTTTTTGTTATCCATTCGTAAATCAATGCATTGTTGTGAGAGATGAAGTGATGAGAAATACGATGATGAAGAGGAAGAGGAAGAAGAAGATGATGAAAAGGAAGAAGATGATGACAATGACGATGGTGACGTTGCATAAATCAGTTCTGATGAAGATAACTTGGGCGATGTAGACGATGATGACGACGACATTAAGAATGGAGAAACTGTTGATGAACACGAGAACGAAGAAGAAGGCACATTGTAATTAATAGGAGTCACGTGAGCGGAAGTGACGTCAGTGGAAACAAAATGGCGGACAAGGGATGGCGGATGGAAGTGAGGAATGGTCAATGGAAAATAATTTGTTTTTGTTAAAACAGTTGATGGCGTTGATGATGATAGTGACGTAGATGTTGTTATTGTAAATTGATCATTTAAATAATTAAGCCCAGCCAATTGGAGCCCGTATAACGAGTTACTTTTAGCTGATTGGTTGACATAATTGTTTAATTTGCTATGATTGGATGGAATTAGTTCCACTTCACAATCATTGGCCCGTTTTATATAATGAAGCTCTTTACAAACAACATCGGCGTTAGTATTATTATTAATGTTATTATTACCTATATTTGTTGTCTTAAAGTTGCCATTGTTGTTGCTGATGTTGAAGTTGTTGATGTTGTTGCTGTTGTTGTTGTTGATGTTGTTGTTGATGTTGTTGATGTTGTTGTTCGAAACAACTTGTATGAGAATCTTATAATCTCTCAATACGTTCACAATTTTTTCGACTTTTAAAAACTTTTTCAACTTTCGAAAAATTATTTTTGCGGCGTAATAATGATGTTTGCTGCTGCTTCTGTGGCTGCTGTGGCTGCTGCGGTTGCTGTTTGTGGTAGCGATTTTGTTGTTGGTTTCTTTGTTTTCATCAGTACAGTTGCAATTTTCTGAATATTTGTTGCGAACCAACCATCTCAACTCAGGCAACACCGCTCCTAGTTCTTTCTGTTGAATATCAAAAAATACAAACATATATACACACACGCACGCACGCACACACGCACACACATACAAACGTACATTCACTAATCCATCCAACCATTTATCCACGTCTACTTAGAAACATTTGAAACACATTCACACATGAAAACATACGTACATACAAATATACAAACATACATATGCACACACACATACACACAAACATACATACGCACATACATACCTACACACACATACATACATACATACATATACATTTATAATCGCGCCATTCATTTCGCCCACGTACTCAACACTGATAACAAAGAAATGATGAAGATGAAGATGCTGATGTTGTTGTAAAAAATTTTCGCTAGATCTTAAATAATAATAATAAACAATAATAATAATAAAAATAAATAATAATAATCATAAATAATAATAATTATTATTATATAAACGATGATTCTATAAATAATAAAAGGGCTTTAATTTTTTAAATAAATTTTAGATTTTAATTTATAACTGTAGGTTTGTTTGCCTGTATGTGCGTGTTGTGTGTGTGTGTATGCTGTATGTATCTCTCTCTCCTTCTCTCTCTCTCTCTCTCTCTCTCTCCTTCTCTTCTCTCTCTCTCTTTCTCTCTCTCTCTCTTTATATATATATATATATACATCTGTATGTGTGTGCGTGTGTATGTAGGAGCTTTTTGTAAGTTTGTTTATTTATGGCAATGGAATATCATGAAATGTTATGCCAGTACTATAAAACATAACATCTGTATGTAAGGATTTCTGCCTGTGTGTGTGTGTGTGTATATATGTGTGTGTGTGTGTGCGTGTGTATGTGTGTGTGTGTTTTGTTTCATAATTCCTGTGATGATGACGAACAGACTTATATTAGTAAAGAACAAAACATCAATTAAATGAATGAACGAATGATGAATGAATGAATGAACAAACAAAGAATCGAAGGAATAAACAAATAAATGAATGATTTCGCTTGTTGTTCACCAGAAACAAAATTTCAAAATTAAGAGTTAATAAATTTGAAAAGATTGAACGAACAAACGAACGAACGAACAGATGAACGAACTAGCGAACAGATGAATGAATGAATGATATAAATAAACGACAGAACGAATGAATGAATGACAGAAAATGAAAGAACGAATGATAGATTGATTGACGGACGCCAGACATATGTATGGTATATGTATGGTGATGTATCCGAATTGAGATATCTATCTAGTCACAACCATCACTTGCTTTTTGCTTATTAATAGCGCTCTTTCTTATCTATTTACACACACACACAGAGAAAAAGAGAGAAAGAAAGAGAGAGAG